CGGATTAACGGTAATTACATTGAACCTTATGAGAAAATTTCCTTTGGGTTGCGACCAATTCGGGGTGTGACCAGAGTCACGGTACGAATTAAATTCGTAACCCGAGGTTCCACTGTAGTTATAGAAAAAACTCACACACACACAAGTTTGTATATATCACTTTTATATCTTGGATAGTGTTGTAAATAAAAAACTTTCCTAGCCCTTATAGGGAGACATAAAAACCCAAGTGTCTAGGGTCCAGTGCTTTTTGGTGATTTTGAGTCTGTGTAAATCAAAATTGGTGGTTGATTGGGGAAAAAAAAAAGAACCCATGACAGTCCCCAAAAAGGTCACACAAGATTTGGAGCAATTTTTTAAGGCATCCAGACTATTGAGCAATGGTGCCTAACCTGCTCAGATTGCTGAACCCTGGTCCAACTTACAGAAGTGTTTTTTGAGTTTGCTCCACAATTCGAACATGTAATATTGCAACTTTCTTAACCAACCTGTTCTTCGCTCCAAAATGCTAGTGTTCAGGATTTAGGGTGCGAAGAGTAGCATTTTGCATTCCTTTCTAGCTGGACAGAGCAGTTTGATTTATCATAAATGACCACTATGTACTAATTGGATTAATGGAGGCTGCAACATCCGTCAAGTGCCACCTTGAAGAGTAAGAAATTAGAAGGCTGTCTTACCATGCGCAGATCCTTGCGGTAATTATTCTTGCGAATAATATGGCGGAGGCTGCTGAGAGTGGCCCGTGCATTCTTGTTGATGGTGATCTTTTCATAGGAAGTGGCTGGCTTTCGCTGGCCTGAGAAAAAAAGGAGGGTAGATCATCAATGGACCACCATTTGCAGGTCCTGCCAGATACACTTGATATTTACAGTTAATGCTGGTTTTTAGATGGCATAGTCATGTTGTAGACTAAAATATCTTATTACAGGACAGGAAGAGTTTCAAAATATAATTGTTTATCGAGGCCTTTTAACTACTTTAAATGCACTGTTTTAGTAGCATTTTGACATTTTAGTTGCATTTCTGAATGGCTCAGAATCATTGTGAGCTGTAAAAGAGTTCCTTCTGGTTCCAAAAGACTGATCTAAACATAAATTCATCAGTGCTTTATAAGCAGCCACAGGCAATATATTTGCCACTTCTGTTCTTGGGCCTACTGCCTCCATCACTTTGCATTATCTATGGCTCAAAAAAATCACCAAATTATTTCTATCCTTTTCTGAGTTACCTTCTCTGTTCAGTAGGATTTTGCTTTAACCTGAGTACACCTACCTGCACGTTTCTTGAGGACTACAACAATACCCTTTCCATCAGCAGCTGGTTCCACCCCTACAGTCTTGCGATGTATCAGACCATTGTAACGGAAGGAGTTACGGGCCTTAAGGTTGTTGGGCTCCTTTCAAGAATAAGAAAACTTTTATTAGAATTCCTTGCAAATTGGTTTCAGAAAGTTTTGGGAAAGTAAAGGCAAGACTTTTATTTGAAAAAGGAATGTGTGTGTGTGGGGGGAAGTTTCAAAGTCCAGGACAGCTTAATAACACCCTAGAATTATTAGCAAGGAGCACTGATGGGAAGGCTGCTGGTTTGGAGGTAAGTAGAAGGAGATGTGACTCACTGTGCTGTAAGTTTGCTTGTTCCTTTTGATAAGGAAACTTGAGCAGTTGCGTACAATCATCCACTGCAGATGAGCAGACATTGTGGAGAATTCCTGGGCATGGGAAGACCAAGCAAATATTCACATATCTGTCCTATACAGGTCATTTGATTTCAAAACCCCAGTGCTGAATGATTTCTATTTAAAGTTCTACTGTAGCCTTATTCATTTCAATGCCAATTACATAAGTTTAATGTCATTGCTGCTTTCATTCTAACTTTACGCTTGCTACTTGATATTATTCCAATATATTTTAAATTTATTCTAGATCTTTCAAAGGAATGTAAAACAATGTAGTAAAACACCTTTCCCCAATCTCCAGATGTGCTAGATTCCGAATTCTCATATATTGTCCCTGCTAGTTGAGAACTACAGAATTGGAACATCTGGGGAAGGTTATTTTTAAAAATGAAGAATCCAACCAAAATTTAGTGACTGACAAGTTATTTGTCTAAAGTACAGTCTCTGCCAACAAGCACTAGTAGGGGAATGCTTTTATTCCCCTGCAGATAGCAACAAAGCTAACTAGAGGTGTAAATGAAAGTAAATACTTAAGAGCAACTCTTTCCCCCATCATCTCCAAAGGAGTCATGAAATTAAAGCAATGTTTATTTTAAAAAACGGAAGAAAAGCTTCTTTACAAAGAATGAGGCAGACCACCAGGTATCAGCTCGCCTAATATGTACTGATTACTGGCCAACAGTAAGATATTTCGTCTCATCTACACGTGAAAGCCACCTGCGTTATGAAATTCGTGAGAGCATCTTTTTAAACAGGAGGCGAGCGAACACTCCCCGTCCTCCTGCCTAAGAGAAACAAGATTCAACGCAAGGCACAATTCTTTAAACATAAATCCATTGGGACTCAGTGAATGCGTTTTTAGTAAGTTTAGATCTTGCCGTAAACGCCCAGCATGTCCCATGGCAGCCTGATATTCCGAGCTTGAATAAATGCGATTAAGGGGGACGCATACATTTTTGTTCCTGGGCATCTGAATTCACAGCACACAGGGAGGGCGGATTAATATTTTCGACCATGTGGCGCCTCCTCTCTATCAATCCCCCAGAAGTCTCAGTCCTTAATCCCCCATTTGTACCCATTTCTTCCTCCCCCACCATAGGTCTCCCCCTTAGACAAGCACGCGGCCTAGAGCTCACCCTCTCGTCGCTACCGCGGCCGGAAACGGAAAAGGAGGGGCTGAGCCGGTGCGAGAGGATTTTATATGCCTTCCGCCTTCCAAGCCAGCTCCTCCACCTTCGAGCCCCAGCCTCTTCCGCTATGCAATCACCAGCACTTCCGGCCCACGATTGAAAGGCTTTTCCCCTCTGAGCCACCTGTGTAAAGCCATAAAGCAGTTGCATCATAGAGATGTCAAGGGTAGAGTGGCAACAACTTAAGGCTCAGAGAATTGCCGCGGCTATTGACTTTGTCTCCTTCGGATGAGCTTCGGAGACTCTCGGAAACTAATCGGGTTACCTCGGCGATAGGTTCGGAGGAGCTCGATTGTCCGTCGAAAACGGCCCTCCATAATTACAGTACTCGAGTTCTCCGAGAGTCACGTGGGTAGGAAAAAGTTCGGGATTTATTTTCATTCATTACATACATTAGAACGTTGGGAAATTTTGAGAGAAGCGGACCCGCGAGCGAAGAGTCGGGGCCAATCAGAAGCCGCCGGGAATGTCTTCCGAACGTTCTCGAATCCGTTCGAGCCCCTCGAATAACGAGAAGCGCCCATTGTCTCCCTCGCTCCTTTGTTTGGGATTGTTGCCTCGTGCAGATGCGGAGGGCCGTATTTAGTTTTGAGCATTGGACCAGCATATTCTGAATTAAAAAAAAATAGTTTAAAAAGTGTAGTAATCATTGGGATAAATACATTCTGGCTGGGAATTTTGGGAATTATATTCCTAATATAGGAGTGCCTGAGTCAGGTTAGCGCAGGAAGGGGGCACCTAAAAGATCATTTAGTCCAACCTGCCACAACATGGCCTTTATAAAAAAAATAATCGTTTAATTTTGTTGCCTTGACCATGTCGAGTTTTTAGGATGGTCAGCAATTCCCTGGGTTTACATATTAAATTATATTTTGCTTTTCATTCAAGAACTTCTGCCTGTTTTTCCTCACCTCCACAACAAGCCTGTAAGGTAGGCTGGGCTGAGAGAGCGTGACTTCCCCAAATTTGAAATCTGCAGAAAGCAGCTAAACCCAGTGCAATTCAAACTGCTGTTTTAAACCTTCAAAGCCCTGTTTGGCTCTCAAATATCTTCAAGAACTCCAAGTGGGATCAACCTGTCCAATAACTTCATCTTTGATGTGGATGCTTAAGGGGAGGGGGGGCTGGAGACTGTTTCTATTTCACCCCCACTTATGGAACAGCAGCTTTCCAGAGATTTGTTTGGGACCTCCCCTGTCATAATTTCAGGAGGATGTGAACACAGAACATAAGGCCTGTGAGAATTAGTTGTTGCTACTGTATTGTGGTCATTTATTGTTTGATTGCTTTGTATTTTTCTTACATGTTTTTGTGGTTTTACCTCTAATGTAGACTACTGGGAGTCAATATGGGATTAGGGTATAATCCTACATATCACCCAATATATATATAATAAAAACTTGTCAGATGCTTACCAGCCCCATCTTCCATTTAATAAACGCTCTGAAAAATACTTTTTAAAAAGTTACCGTATTTTTGAGTTTTATAAAGAGGAGAAATAATATCTGAAAGCAAAACTTACTAAATTCACGCTAGACTATTCGAAAGGAAGCTACATACTTAACACAAAATAAAGTTAAAAGAAGACAAAAAAGAATAAAATAAAAACAACAATGAACTCTTGGGTTTTGGCAGGATGTGTAAGGCAAAACAATTTTTCAGTGGTGGTCTGAGCCCAGAAAATGGATTTAATTATAGATATTGCAAGTGTTTTTTTCTGGGAGATCCTTCTGATTGTTCCAAAAGCTAGCCCTTTTCTGCTCCTGCCAGATATTTTCCAATGCAAGAGATGAGACTAAGAAGATGCCATGAGTGTTCAGCTCAGCCTTCCTTTCCTCCATGCCGATCCACATACATATCCCCAAAAGAGAAGGAGTCTGCTGATCCCATGGGTCCTGTTCCCCCAACAACCAGAGAAGAGTTACTCCATCCAGGCTGGAAAAATGTGATCAACCACTAGATGGCAGCAAAGTGATCTTATTCTTTGCTGCCATCTAGTGGATTCTGAACGTTTTGCAGACTTGATCTGGTAATTCTAAATTTGAAGGTATTCTATGATCTGGTCCCCAAGAACTGTGTGAGATACTGTAGGGAGGCTGGGAAATTAACAGAATAAAGTTTAGACAAAAACAACTAAGAGGAGAGGAGTTTGTTAATGGCTTATCTCCTAAATCACAGCTCTCCAGGCTGCAAAAAGCCCAGGAAAAAGAGACTGGAAACAAATAAATTCAGCCTTACTGATAAATAAGAGCTGGAACTCCCTATCACAGCTGCTGAGCTTCGGTACTTTACCCCTGGTCGTTGCATTTAAACACGTTACAGTAATAAAGTCTGTGTAGTTCTTGCTTTATTAATCATGGCTTGCTGTGAAGGTCTTGGCAAGCTGCAAGATCCTTTGGATCCATTCAATAGTCAAGTGCCCTAACCATAACGGGGGGGAGGGGGGAGACATTGGCAAAGTTTTCCTTAACTCAAATACCAATTAAGATTTTATAGTCAGATGTAGGGAAAATAAAGCATAGTATAAAAATAAATAGTTTATTTCAGTATTCCTCCCCCATATTTTGAATGAAATAGTCATTAGTATTCCTCAGAAGCCCCAAATTATTGTTTGGTATTCCATGGTCTTGAAAAGTTTAATAAACTTGTTAAAAATAGAGTCGGGGCTTCGATCGTGGGTTCCCGCTACCATCGTGACTTTTCTGATTCCCAGCGGGCAAACATCCTGCCTAACCGGTGCAGTTTGAACAAGTTGTAGAACCAACCTGGCGTATCACTCAAGCTTCGCAGGAAGGGTTGAAGAGAAGGAGATTCAAGCTAGGTTTTGAAAGTAACCGATCCTCTGTGATTGTATGAACCAGTGGAACAGGCTGCCACACAATATTTTATTATTTATCTATTTTACTTAAGCTATTTATATAGCTGCCCAACTCACGGTGACTCCAGGCAGCTTTCAGAAATAAAAACCCCAAATACAAAATCCACTACACCGCCCCATAATATGATGAGTTCTCCACTAGACAACTTCAGAGCTTGGATGGTCGTCTGTCAGAGACGCTGCAGTGAATCCTGCCCTGAATGGAGGATTGGACTACGTGACCTCCATGGTCCCAATTCAGTGATTCTTGTATGCAAAGCATAAGTGAACACATCTCCACCACCTCACACCCACCCATCTTGCACCTGTGATGTTCTCTGCTCCTATCAGTTAATTAATTGGGGTATTTTTATTCCCTGAGAACAGAGCAACAACAGTCTATAATGGGATATTTCTCCCCCCTCCCCACCCTGCATACACACACACTGAAGAAGTAACTGGGTCCCACCCCTACCAGACTTTGCAACACCTCCCCACGCACAGCAATTTGTTTTCCAAACACTTCCCTTCTATCTGTTCTCCAGAACACTATTGTTTTCTGCTTTTGCACCTTTTGTTCTGCCTTGGATCTAGATGATGTTTTTAATGCTACCTCGTGACTTGCTTTATCTCTCTCAGTGTGTAATCTTTCACACTACCCCATGATTTGTGTTGTATTTCCTTGCTGTCTCACACCTTCCCTTTTTCCATTTATTTTCTCCTTCCATGTAATCTTTCTTTGCCCTCACCCCCCTTTTTTTAAAATACATTCTATCCACTTCCCCCTCTTAACTCTTCAGATCTAATTTTACACTTTCTTCTGCAGTCCTTGCTCTGTAAATTGCTTTTAGTTGTTATCTGCGACAAATCCTCATGGAGTCTGGATCTGGAAGAAACACCGGGAAGGCAGCTTGAATCCCCCTTCTGCAACAGAAGTTCAGGGTGACCCACTGATACTGACCCAAAGTGGGTGGGTGAGTAACCAGTAGATGTTCCTACCTCTCTAGGTCTCTACCTCTGTGGCATCACCATTTCAGAAGGGAAGAAGAGACTGCATACATAGGAATCAGTCCAAATCTTAACATACAGGGAAATTCCTGGATTTTCACATTCCAGCCAAGCTCTCCATTTGGGACTATCAGCACTGAACATAGGTAGAAATGTGGGGCTTTTACTGTGCATCATATCATCTCAGAGTCAGCTTTCCAAACATCTGCACTGACAGACAAGAAGTTCCCAGGGTTCTTGAGATTTACTCTGATGACTTCCAGTGAGTAATTGAGGTGTCTGGGATGAAGTGAGGGAACAGTGCTCCTTACCGCAGTGAACAATCTGTAAAGTAGCAAGTGAACTATGAGTTCAACTGGGACCATTTTGAATCTATTTATCCCATGTTTAGCTGCCTTGTATTGCCAGTAACACTGAACAAACACACACACAAAAAGCCTGGCGTTGTGTAATGGTTAGAATATTGGACTGGGATCAGGAAGACCATCACTTTCTCTGAGTTCAACCTGCTTCTCAGAATTGGTGTCCCAAAGACAAACTAAGGGCTCCATACAGTGAGATCTGCTGGGTCGGGCCCTGGGCCCATCCTGACCAGCCTTCTGTGTTCCACAGTGATGAACTAGGTGCATCGGAGAAGCTCCCAAGCCTGGACTGGAGAGTGAGACCCCTTTACTTCGTAGCTTCCCAGCAACCAGGATTTAAAGCCTCCTGCCTAGTATGCAGGAGTTATTGGTACATTAGTAGCCATGGATAGCCTGATCCTCCAATGAACTTCTCCCTTTTTCATACCATCCAAATAGGTTACCATCACCTCAACTGCTGGCAATGAATTCTCCATTTAATTATATGCTGTGTGAAACAGTCTTTCCTCTCCTTGGTCCTAAATCTCCCTTCATTTAGTTTCCATGGACAACCTTGAGCTCTAACATAGCGAGAAAAGGGGGAGAACTCTCTCTTCACATTATTGATGCTAGGCGAGGCTCTATAGCCCTCTGTCGTGTCTCCCCCATCCCTCCTTTGTTCACAGCTAAACAGCCCCGAGCGCTGTGCTCCTTCTGCATTCAGTACCTTCTTCAGCCCCTTAATTGTTTCAGTTGCCCTGTTTTGCAATAAGTCTTGCGTTCTTTAAATGTGGGATCCAGAATGTCTGCAGGGTGGGGGCAGGGG